CCCAGCCATGAGAAGAGCCCCTGGAATGCCCGGAGGGCTGGTGGAGATTTGCCCGTTGCAGCTGAGGGGCTGTGGGTCCTTCCTGGGTGGAGAACCGGTGCCACCAGACCTGTCACCAGAGCTCCTCCAGCTGGTGGGACGGGGCTCTGAGCAACCTGGTGTAGTTACAGATGTCCCTGCTCACTGCTGAGGGGGTGGACTAGATGACCTTGAAAGGTCCCTTCCAACCCAAACCCTTCTATGAAAGCCCACACGAGGCATCATGGCCCTGGGAACACTTATTCTCGGCATCCTTGCATCCACCATCTCCCCTCCAGGAACGGGCAGGATGTAGGCAGCACTCTTACCTGCACCCGGGGCAGCGGCGGGGTGGAAGGCAACGCTGCTGTCCGGTTTCGCCACGGCAGGGGAGGGCAGAACCACTCGACTTCGCTGAGGTAGATGAGGAATGAGCACTCGGTGCCGTCTACGCCAAAAAACGCATAGCAGGGGTCGGAGGTCCACCTGGCCCTCATCCACTGCGAGGGGACAAAGAAAGGCGTGGGGCTCGTCCTGCGGCCAGGAGGGGATGCAGCAGCCCCGGGAGCTGCCCCTGCTGGGGGAAACTTCTGTTCTCCGTCACCCTTCTCTAGCTGGGAGCTAGAAATGAAGAGTGACACGGTGCCAATGTCTGCCTGCCTGGTGCCTGTTGGGGCAGAGACAGAGGCAGGGGGGGGTATTGCTGGTGGCCCACTGGGTTTCTAGCACTGTCCCCAGGGGCACAGCCATTACTCCAAAGGATCTGACACACCACAGGGTTTTCATCTCTCTAGCTTTGCTGGGGAGGGAGCTGAGCCACTGATCTCATTGCCCTGGGTGCAGAGGGGCAAGGAGATGGAACCACTGGCCGTTCCTGAGGATAATTTCACACGAAGGAGAATAACCAGCAACCAGAGCCACAATTTATCATCCCCTGCCACGGCTCTTGCCAGTCTCTTCCTAATTCAACTACAAAACCAAATCTACTCGGGCGACGAGTTGTTGGGCCCAATATGTAAAACACAGCAATCAGTCGGACAGGAGATTGAATTACAGCTTTCCACAGTTCAGTTAGATTCTGAATTTACTCGCATCGTGGAGGGAAAGGATGCCTAGCACCAGGGGAAGAGGGAAATGCAATCCCCCATATGATTTCAATATAGCCTTCAAGATCTTTTCAGGGAGACTTGGCCCTGCGGAAGCCTGAGCTTGAAGCAAGAGGCTGGGAAGGGGAGGGCAGAGGGAGATGCTTTTAATTAGTTCCTGTAAATATGCTCTCTGACAAAACAATCATGCTCCGGGCCGAATGCCAGGCTGCACTCAGGTGTAAAGAGCCGGCTGGGTCAGGCAGGACATCTTATCTGAGATGGAGGTCCTGGCCACCTTAACGAGCCGCTCTTCTGTGCAATGCTGAGATTATTCCCCAGACACTAGTTAACGCTCCAGATATTTAAAGACGATGTGACAGCGCATTCTCCACACCCGGCTTCTGTCATTAAACACAGACAGTACAAGCAGGGAGGGCTGCGGGCAGGGGTGGGCTCACAGAGCTGATTCTGCTGCCTCGCACACCTCTGGGTACCGCGGGTCAGTGCTTCGTACGACTACAGCTGAAGGTGTGTGCCCTGTTATCGGGGGAAAACGGTGACATCCATACAGCAAAGGTTACCAGAGGAGGTCAGACACCTCCCTTGTGTTTTCTCCTCATGGCACAGCTGTGCTTTGCTTTCCACATCTGGCTCTGCTCCTCCTTCTGCAACGGGCTGGACCTTCCCCATTTTAAAGCAAACAGGTTGGAAAGCATCCGACTCCCTGCTGCCCTTCCCAGTCTAAGCCCTGGGGCTGTTGCTTCTCAGCAGCTTCCATCCCCGGCCCAGACCCTCTCCCAGACCGGGATCCCTGACTCACCTCCACTTTCCCAGCGCAGTCAGGATACTTGGGGTCCCTGGGCACCTCGCACTGGTCCCTCCTGCCTTCCACCACTGGAGAAAGATAATTTGGACATGGGGAAAGCTGGGACATGCCAGTGGAGCAGCTAGAAACACTGGCAGGGGGTGGGACGGGACGGGATGGGACGGGATGGGATGGGCCGTTATCCCCCCCAGGCACATTCATCGGCACCACAGCTGGGCTGGCAGACAGCCCCATCCCACTCAATGGAGCAGAACACCAGGATATGAAGCATCTTCCCCAAGGTCAAGGAGGAAAAAAGAGGAAACTCCCCACCCCTGCTGCAACACCAAAAGTGTGTTCTCCTTTCTGAAATCTCAGCAGGTCTCTTTACAGCACCTGCCTGCTGCTCTCAGCCTGGTCCAGACTCCAGGGCCCACCTATCCACACTGCTGTCAACCATCTGTAAGCAGGCTGCAGTAGCTAAGGAAGCACTTTACAGCCTTTATGCTGTAAAATTGCAATAAAAATTGCCCTGCTCAGCTGTCAAGAGAATACTCAGCCCCTGGGGTCAGCACTGGAATAAAGCACAAAAGTGGCTAAAAAGATAATAGGATCTTTTCTTCCTCTATGGTTGGATTAATAAAAGACATCACCCCTGCTATAAGGCCTCCTTTGCCTCTAACTAAAAAAGTATGATGTGGAAGAGGCAAGAGAAGCATCTTCTACGTGACGATGCCAGCCCAAATCCCGGAAACCACTCAGCCATGTGGAGAAACAGCTGGAGAGCCCAGCTGCCCTCCAGCACTGCCGGAGTGGGATGGGAACATCTCCTCCTGGCACTGGATCCCAGTCCCTGGGTTTTGGATCCAAACTGCCACATTTTTCTATCCAGGTGTTTGTGCTGGCACTACTCCTCATCTCTAATTCTGCATTTAGCTCTGTGGCATTTCCTTCTGACAGCAATTCAGACTTGTCACCATTCCTCCCCCTTGCAGGCACGAGTCTCTCAGGTCTTGCTGCTCTGCAGACTGATCTCCTGGGCCAAGTAGAGAACATTACTGACGTCAGACACCATGGAGGGTCCTGTGCAGCCTCCTTTTCCAGCCTTCCTGGCTGTAATAGCAAGGTAAGAGTCCCGGAAACCTCCGAGAAAGCTTAGACCACCCTCAGGACCTCAAAGAGGTGGTGCGACCACGCGCTGCCTCTGCACAGAGGTGGACACAGACAGCCCCAGGAGGTCTGCCCGAGAGCTTCGGGTGCCCTGCTTAGTCCTGCAGACAGCAGCAAATTGGGGAACCTCAGATCAGCACCCACTCCCCTGCGTTTTTAGCAAATTTTGCATGGTCAGCTTGGCTGGGTCTTCTTATTGCAACTGCGTAACACGTAGGAGGTTTGGAGCACGGCGACCCCGGGGAAACTCACCTTTCCCATTCAGGAGGCTGTTCCGGAGAATCTGATCTACTTTTATTGCGATGTCTGAGACATTTTGAGCTATTGCTTGGATCCTTTCCATCAACCCAGCTGCTGGCTGGAACCTAGAGAAAAAAAAAAACCAAATACACCCTGAAAACGCAATGTCTCCCGGTGACACCCGTGGGTGCTTACAGCTAACTTGCCATCCTTGGATGCTGCTGATGGGTTGAACTTAGCTCCAAGATGCAACGTGGGAACGCTTGGTCCAGCATGTACTGGGCAAAGAGGTCATTGCCTTCCGAGAGGTTTGATTAAAACCTACGTACATTGGTATTCTGCCATTTTTTGCAGTGTGCTGATAAACAAATTTACATCTGTGCATTTTACATGAGGAAATACTAAAGAGGCTGGGGAAAAAAATTGCTTTTCTTATTTCAGATGAGCTATGTTTGAAAATCCTCCGCTGTGATTATTGGCCTTGCAGTGCACGTAGGAAGCCATGCTGGGGAAAAAGAGGAAAGGGGGAAAAAAAAACCCAACCCGAAAACAGAGAGAGAGGAAAGCAAAACCAGAGGAGAGCTGAGGAACTTTGTGGACCTGGAGCAGACTGCAGATGCAAATCACGCAGGACACGTGGATGAGCCAGCCCACCCACCAAAGACGTAGGTGAGTGGATTTGCAGGTCCCCTGGTGAGGGCTGTGAGGGGACAGGGTGCCAGGGCTGTGAGGGGACAGGGTGCCGGGGCGAGCGTCGGTGGCACCACACGAGCCAGGGTTGAGCTGGGTATTGCAGCCTCAGAAAAGCCCATCGGCACCTTCCCATCAAAGCTTGAGATCAGATTCCACCGGTTGGAATAGCTGCGTGTGCCGTCTATCAAATTAACCCTTGCCATCCGCGCCATCCTGGGCAAACAGCACCATTAAATTCACCCACACAACGCACGGCGTAGATGGAGCGCTGCCGAGAGGCCGGGTGTCGATTAAATAAAAGGGCACGAGAACTCAATCCATCAGGAGCGGTGCCCTGCCAGGCTTGACAAGGATCAAGCTCTCCACCTCCGACACCTCGCCTGCCATTCCCAGCACAAACAACCACCACGTCTCGACAGACGCCGTTATCGCAGTCAATAATTTCCCCTTCTGCAGCATCTGGGTCGTAAGTTTTTCCTCTTGCTGCTGCCAAGATCATTATAGTACAAGGAAATGTCGCGAGCAGTGAGCAAAACCAAAAGGGCTCCACACTCTGAATACTCTTGGCACAAAAAAATATGTGCTGATGTCAGGTTCTTCCCGGTGAAATTTTATGTTTGTTCTCCAGCAGATCAGTGAACCTGAAGGCTGGGATTTAAAGTACCTGTGTCCTCAAGGCTAAAAAAGGCCGTGTTTTATGAACCGATACTGCTTCAGTTGTTGATTTAAAGTCCATTCGCGAGCAGCGAGCAGCCCACATTTTTCCTTCTGGCATGGTTTTATGACCATCAATATTCAGCCTGCATACCTCCACAGGGAGCCGCATATCTTAGGCTTTTAAGAAATAATAATTAAATGCAGAGGACACCATTGCCCCCAAGTAACTTTCAACCTTTGCAGAGAATAAACCCCAGGTGTCCTGCCAGCTGCTGCAACCACTGCTGCAGAGAGGCTGCTCATGAAGCCCTCGTAAAATATGGGCACAAAATTGACCTGAGATAAGCTCTTGCTCAGCAGCGTGGCTCCGAGGAGATGAAATGCTCCTGGTCCAAAGGCTGCACAGCTCGGCCAGCCCTGAAAGCTCACGAAGGCCCCATTTCTGCAACCTTTTTTCTCCTGGCAACCAGCCATCAGACCACACGGGTGATGCTCAGGCACTCAAGAAACAGGGAATAGCTGGGATGAGCAGTTCAGGAGCGAACATCACGAAGATGCAGTGACTTTAGAGCCAGTGAGCCCAGCCTCCTGCTCCAACAACAGCAGAGGGACCTTGCCTTGGCACAGATGTTCCTCAGGTCTCTCCATCGCTCGTGGCACAGAGAGGACGAGCACAGCTGCGGCAGCCCTGCTCCCGCACCTCAAACCCCCAGACCAGCTCACGATCCAACTTCTGCCTCCTCCCAGAAGCCATCCCAATTCTCGCTTGGGTCCAAATCTGCTCCCAAGCACCCAAGTAATGAGGTGAATCTTACAAGTCAAGAGCAACTTGGGTCCCCATCTCCTCTCTGACGACCTCCAGACCTTAGCTCAGCCAGGCTGGGCACCCAGAAACACATTCAAACAAGAAGCAGGATCGTTATCCTAAATAAATAGATTTCTTCCAGGCTAAGCCTTGCAGCCAGCCCAAATCCTGCCAGACCTCCAGCCACCAGGGGATGGATCTGGTGAGCACCTACACCAGCTTGCCCAGCTCCTGAAAGCTACAGCTGCTCCCCAGACACAGAGATCTCAACTCAGAGCCCTTTGATGTAACATGTATGTGTGACCATCGCGCTCAGGCAGCACTTCCAGTTCTCACAGATAAGATAACTGTCGCATGGGCTCCTCCAAAACGCAGAAGGTTACAAAAAATGTCCACCGTGGTTCTTGGCATGTGTGAAGAAGACAGAAAAAAGGCAGAAATTGTCCCTCCAAAATAAGGAAACAGGCTCAAACCTCCCACCGCCTGCATGCTCATCATTACTTGTCAAACTAACTTCCTCCAAATCCCCTCAGCTTTGAGGGAG